TAGACATTATCAAGATTTATCTGTAAATTGGTGGAACATAAATAAACCTAGTTCAGATAAAAGTTATGTTACAATTTTTTTTTAACGCAGCTATGTAATAAATTAAATTTATTGCAACATATATAAATCTCAGGATAAAATAATAAAAAAAACCCTATTATATTACAAATTGTCCCTTTTGCCTTTTAAATAGGCTCTTAATTTGTTTGACTTTGATACTCTAGAATTAGTCACTGTTTACAAGGGATTTTCGCCACTGCTTTTTAAAAATATTTTTAATATGCTTAATGTAACCTCGTTGTTTGAAGTAGACAGTTCTTTTAAGCTAACAATAGTCTGAAGTTTAGAGGTTTGAATTCTGAATTGGATGAGGGCAAATAATCATTAGCTATCATAAAATTCAGAACGTTGATTGCAAGTCAGGCCCAGGAAAATCGTATCTTTTTTTTTCGATGACGTAGTGGAAACTCTTTACGAGCCGTCCAACCGGCCTTGGTGGGGCCGGAAGGGATGTGTGAGACTCGGCCTGGGCAGGCCCCTACTCACTAAAACCACTGCGAAAGCCATCGGCCGCTATGTCGTATTCGTATCTTATGACAAGGTGCAGTTAAGTCAAAAAAACCATCAGTCAAGTAGTATCTGTCATATAAATTTAATTCTAATAAAATATACCAAATTTGTTTTGTAATCTGCTAATGAAACTGTTAATTTGATCATTGCTTACTTAACTATTTTAATTCTAAAGCCTGTACAGACCTTATCATACTTACCTTACCTTATACACAAAACAAACACATCAATAATTAATTAATTAACATCAATTAATTGACACATACATTGGAACTTTTTGAAATACTTGACACGTTAATTAATCATTGCTCTTGTTACCTTGTACCGTCTCAAGCAGTTACGTCGATAACGTACAGACAATTTCACCTTGAAAGAATATTTGCTTATCTTTAAATTCCAATTGTTAACTATTTATTAGGGTGGGTCAAAAAAAATTTTTTAAGATATTCATTTCTAACAGCAAAAATATGTTGTAGTTAGATATCGTTATAAACCCCTAAAATATTATCTAATTATTTTAATTGGAACAGCCCGCGCAAAGCCATTGAAATTTTTGAAAAAAAAGTACAAGTACTCATTTTTGCACTTTAAGTTCCAAGTTTGACGTGGGATTAAGTTTAATGTTTTAAGCAATATCCATTAAAACACACGTTACTTTTGTTATAAAAATTGTGTTATTTAGTAAAAGAAAATTTTTGAGGGAAGTACATTCGGAGAATTCATTTATCATTGTGGCTAGTTTTTTGTAAAATCTAGTGAAATTGAAAATTGTGTAATTTTTGTTTTAGGACTCGAAAATAGATTTTTTCCATTATGTCAAATAATAGGCAACCACACAAGTGCCCTATATTTGGAACTATAGAAGATATAAAAGAAAACGCGTTACCAACATACCAGAATGTCATGAAATGTTATGAGTGGAATAGGCTACAAGTGAAAATTAAAAATGTCAGCAACAAAGAGCCCGCCCTTTTCAAAATTGCAGAAATTGAAACCCGGAAAGTAGAAGGAGTATGGCAAAAGGCGTCAATCCGTATAGTATCGCATACAAGAGTCATTCAGCTCCTAAAAGCTTATCATTCCAAATGCAAAAATATCTTCAAATCATTGATAAGGTTGACAGCTGAGAAAAAAACTTAATTCTTCGAGCAAAGCGAAATTTTGTTTGATATTTGTTAATGCATATGCAAGATACTAAGTCGCACATTTTGAAGTGCCTAAACTTAATTTTGATGTCAAACCTTATATTGATCTAATAAACTGGCAAGAAACCAACTTTGGTCCTCCTATTCTACAAAATGAAACGAATGACGAACTTATTCAAATAATAGAAAAAAAGGTGACGAAACGATGTTGTTTTCGAGGCTGCCTTGTCATACGTATAAGTGTGAAGATAGTGACAGAAGCTGCAATGCCGGTATGTGATAAAAAAGCAAGGGACGGCATAATTCATGCAAAACTTGCATCAAGGAAAGCTATGGAGAAATTCGATAGTAGACAGGATATTTTGTATAAAAATGAATATTATTTTGATAGCTTTTTATGATTAATTGTTTAAGTTAATTAAATATTTCTTTTGTTTTGATAATATTTTGAATAATTTCTTATAAAAAACTATACCATTTACTAATACGTGTTTTTCCCAAAGTCGATTATTTTCAAAACTCATGCGCGGGCTGAAGGAATTTGTTTGATTACCCGTTTTTTAGCTGAAACAATTTTTTATAGTACACTACAACATAATATTACTATTAGAATGTGATTCAGCAACTTTTATTTTTATCCATACTAGAGTTACCCACCCTATTATATACAGTTGTTACTAAAAATGATAAGATGATAATATTGCAATGTTATGAATCCAATCTAAGAGTCACTTGAATGAATTCTAGAGATATAAATCCGATTGATTAGATAACCAGCAAGGATATAATAATAAAATGAGAGGCATTAAGGGGGAAAATATGTTTTTATAGCCTTTTTGTAACTTTTTAGAAGGTACTATACTTGATGTTTTTTATTAAACAATACTTAAAAACGATTTTCCTAACCCCTCGGAGCGTCCCAATTGAAAGCATGTGGTCTATCTTTTTGTTATTATAAAATAATCTGTGAAAATTCATGAGTACAAAAATTACGAGACACCTAATCAATTTAAGATCATACATATCGGGAGGAATTTGGAATGTGAAAAAATGTTACACATGAAATTTTATCTAATATTAAGAAGTTCACACTTTAGTCTACAAGAACAATCTAATAAAGAAATGCGTACCTGAATATATAAACATAGCTCCTCCTCTTGATTTCCATAAAGCAAAGTATACAATACAATTACATTACTTCTATTACCGCTAACACTTAAAATTAATTCATCATAAAAATATTTGTTATACAAATTGCTTAACATAAAGTTGTTTTGGGATATGATATATGATTTTATGACATATGATTTATGATTTTTCTTTCATTCACACTTTTCAGGCTTTAGATTATTGACATTGAATTTTCTTTTTAATGTGAAGCCAATATTTTATTATTACTGATTTGTTAAATTAAATTTGTAAATAAGAATTATTAAACAGCTGATAACGCGTGATTTGATTAGACACCACAATACCTACGACAAAGTCGGCTTGTTTAAATGGTGTGAATCAAAATATTAACAATAATTTAAAGATCATAAACAAACTTAGTTTAATTTTCAAAATGTTCACCGCCTTGTTCAATGCACTTTAATGACCGTTTTCGCAATTGTGGTTTTATTTTAGATAATACTGCAGTGTCACTTTGCACTTATACAAAGGCGGTTATTATCTTATTTTTTAGTTCCTTGACACTTGTTGTCTCTGTGTTATAAACTAACGATTTAATTCGCCCCCACAAAAAAAAAGTCGAGTCGCGTCAAATCAGCTGATCTAGGAGGTCAATGGACACGTGCGTAGGTATTTGATGTGTGCCGGCTGTCGCTGTGCGTGCGTAGATATTGGTAAAATACTAGTTTAGCCTTGAAACAAGTATCAGTTTTCTTTAATTGAATGATCTTAAATCTTAATACTCTGACTTACGGTTCATTTTCGTTTCAATGAAGTGTTTTTATAACTGTGTGTAGGATGGCTGTAATTTACTTAGTTCTATCTAAATTTGAGAAAAAAAAACCTACATAAAAAACTATCAAAATCGATCCAGATACCGATTCTGAACAAACTACTTTCAGGGTGTGCGTTAATTATGTTACACGTTGTATAAAACTTTAAAGTTTATCCGTTAAAACCTAGACTGAAAAATTACATGAGTATGTATAGTAACATTATTAATAAAACGTTAATTCGATACCATATATGTAAGTAATGTAGCAAAACATTTAATCCATTAAAATGTGGTGATTACAACTTCGATCACTTTTTCATATTAAAATCTTTTATAAACAAACATTTGAAAATAGAACCAAGTTTTTTCGTAAACAGAATGATATAGTGAAAGCTATTGCTTTAGTGACTAGACAGTTACTTGGGTTAATGTACCCACTCGACTACTAATGTAGAATTCCCTTATACTGCGAGTTCTTTATGATGAAACCCTCTTATTGCTTTAATATAAGTTTTGAAAACTATTTATTTGCTTTGGATTTTAAAAGTTGCAATATTATGAAAAATTATAATATGATATTATAAGACCAATAGGCTTATTAAAAATAAGAGCAATGCAAAAATATTTCGCTAAAAGTATGTGAGTGAACAAAGATTTTCAGTAAAATAAGGAAGCATTCCTCAATTTATATATTTATTCTAATACGTGGTACAAATATTAGTAATGAAATTACTCATATATTTTGTAACTAAATTAAATAAAAGTAAATAACCTCAGCGTTGAAATAATTAAACATTTTTTTCAAAAATGTTGCTTAAAAAATATATTGCGCTGTTTCATCTATTACCGAGGGACATGGGCGTACCCAGGTAGGGGCAGGGGGGGGGGCAGCTGCCCCCCCCTGAATAATGTTGACGTCCCTACTAAGTACCTTATCATGTACTTTTATCGATAAAAATTAAGAAAACATTTTTTTGCCATTTGTTTGTATTATTAATACGATATTTTAACAGCTAAAAATTACGCGGCGCGTTCGTTACCCATACCCATAACAGCTCGCTAGCAGTGCAGCGCTGCGGAGTCCGCCCGCATCTACACGACACGAAGATTACCGAATCGTACCGAGCGACATCGAGTGCCGCGAAATCGGGAGAGAGTACGAGCGAACGGCTTGCATTTGTTTGACAAGTCATTGTTTTCAAACTGCACGAGTTTTGATTGAATTAAAAACATAAATAAGGTTTTGTTACTGAGTTGTAGTATTGTGATATAATTAGGACCTAAGTAGGTACCTATATGTATTTCTATTTATATTCTGATTTACTATAACAAAACTTTGAATGAAAATGGATATTCGGAACTTTTTTGGTAAGTTTTTTCTATTACCTACTTATTTACTTAATAAGTCTGTTATTTTTTTTTATTAAAACAAGACAATCACAATTGTTTGAAGGATCTACTCTAATTTTTTTAATAACCTTTAGCAATCTATGAAATAAGATTTGAGGATTTGATGCTTCAAACGTATTTTGTTACTGATGTCATTTGTTACTAATGCATATGCATTGTAAAACTGGACGTCCAATTTGTGTAGTTTCGGCTTGCGGTTTTAACTTTTTTTATAGTCATGCCGAAGAAATAAACGTATTTTTTATAGCTACATTACCGTATACCGTATTTTATTTTTGCAGCAAAAAAACGGAAAATTACAAGCACAGAGGATGATGATGCCAGTTGCAGTAAACAGTTGCAGCAGTCTAGTGAGGTGGATTCAGCGCCAATAACACAATCTTATTCTGCTAATAAAAAATTGTGTAACTCTTTAGTTAGCCCGCAAGATTCAGAACCGAAAACCATAAATTCTTGCAGTATTGTTAATGAGGTAGTATCTGAATCTCGTGCATCTACATCTACGTCTATTCTGGATGATGGAGGGAATTTTCATGAAAACGATATCGGTCGATGGGTTGGACGGTCTTTCGTACTGACAACGGAGAAGCGAATGGAAATGTTAAAGCGATGCTGGGTACCTTCAGAAACTTATGATTTTGCTGGCGATGCTACACATTTAAAACGCAAATTTAACCACTCTTGGTTAGAAATGTACAAACCGTGGCTTGTATACTCAAAGAAATTGAAAGGTGCATTTTGTTTGTTTTGTGTTTTATTCCCGCCGAAAGTCGCACGTGGTGTACAGAGATCTCTAATTGTTCGACCATTTACCAAGTATAAAGATATACATATTTATTGTAAAGCGCATGTAGATACTCAATGGCATAGAGAGTCGAGTGCGTCTGCCAATTCTTTTAGCAACATTAAAACAAATGTACAAGTTGCATTGCAAATAGGCCGCGAAAAAATTATTGAAGACAATAGAAATGCATTGCTACCTATAATCAGTACAATAGTTTTTTGTGGAATACATGATTTGCCATTGAGAGGAAAAGAAAAGGATGACGGCGTTTTTCAAGATTTGCTTCAATTAAAAATAAAATCTGGTGATGAAATTTTGCGGCAACATTTAGAGAAGGGTCAAAAGAATGCTCAGTATACGTCCCCGAAGATACAAAATGAAATTTTAAACATATGCGGTATTCTAATAAGAGAAAAACTGGTCGATAACATTAGAGTCGCAAGTGCTTTCAGTATTTTGGCTGATGAATCAGCAGATATATCTGGTAAGGAACAACTAGCAATAGGTCTTCGATATTACGATCAAAAAGAAAAAAATGTTACAGAAGAATTTATGGGCTTCGTAGAGTTGGAAAAATGGATGCCCAAACGATAGCTGCTGAAATAAATAGATTTATTAATACGTTAAATATTGACGCTAATAAATGCGTGGGACAAGGCTATGACGGATGTGCTACTATGGCGGGAAAAGATGGTGGAGTCCAGAAAATATTGAGAGAAACTTATAAAAAGGGTTTATATTTTCACTGCGCCTGCCACAGATTAAACCTCGTGGTAAACGATTTAAATAATGTTTCTGAGATCCGCAACTGCATTGGAACCGTAAAAGATACAATAAATTTTTTCAGGGAATCGGTTCTGCGTCAAAGATATGCACCTAAAATACCATTGCTGTGTGAAACAAGATGGTCCCATAAATACCAAAGTATTTCGATGTTTAAGAAATATTTTGCCCAAATTGCAGAAGGTTTAGAAAAACTTTCTCGGGAAGGTAATTCTGCCACAAGGAAAGTAGCTTTTCAGTTACTATCTGCTGTCAGCCAAACTACATTTATATTTGCTTTATGTATTATAGACAAATATAATTCTATGCTGCAACCCGTCGCGAACATATTGCAATCTAAAACGCTAGACATATTAAGATGTGCAGAACATATAGAAACAATAACTACTGCAGTTGCAGAACACCGGCGTTCCGCGGAAGAAGGGAGCGAAGATTTAATCAAATCAGCTGAAAAAATTGCTACGGCTTTAAACATTGACCTACGTTTACCAAGAACAGCAAGCCGCCAACAACATAGGGCAAATCAACCAGCTGCTTCACTTAGCGAGTATTTTCGTCGCTCATTATACGTGCCTTATTTGGATTCTTTGTCATCTTCATTAGAGGCGAGATTTAGCAGACAGCATTCACCAGCGTTTAAACTTTCATTGTTACACCCTACTCAGATAATTAAAATTACAGTTCCTAAATTACAAAAATGCATGGAGGAAGTATCTGATTTTTATGAATTAGAAGGGATCACGTCTGAAGCCGAACTTTGGCGCACGTTTTGGATAAATAAGCAGCAGCAGGATTTTGAAAATATTGAAATAGCAGAGTTAATACAAGAAGCAGATTCTTTCTACCCGAAGGTCAAGATAGCTTTAGAAATTTTGCTGGCAATGCCGTATTCCACTGCTACGATTGAAAGGTCGTTCAGTACACTTAGACGTGTAAAAACGTGGCTAAGATCGACTATGACAGAAGATAGATTGAATGGGCTTTGTATGCTCAGTGTGCACAGAGAATTTGTTAAAAGTATGAGTGATTCTTTCACGGAAGGCATCCTAAATCGTTTTGCTGAAGACCCTCGAAAATTACTTTTAAAATAGCCATTGTAGAAGTACCTAGTTAAAGAATTTATATAAAAAAATATTATCTATTTTAATTTAAGTTTTTTTATTTTTAAAAACCACCTCACCTAGCTTATAAAAATAAGATTTGCCCCCCCCTGGCCCAGAACCTGGGTACGCCCATGCCGAGGGAAATTGCCTAAAAGCCTTAAGTCATTTAATCCTTAGAGGTTTAGATAAGTGCTGGGAATGGTATTCTTAAAATATAAAAAAACATGTAGTTGTTTATACAGAAAAAAATAATTTATTTCAATAACTATTAAATTATTATTCGTAACAAGTTGTTTTGTAATATATGATACATATGATAAAAACTCATTTAAAAGATCCATAATTATAACTTATTTCGCGAAGCCACCTATGTTCACAAAATAAATTATATCTTCAGAACATACCTTATATTGAAACCACATATAAAATTATAAATATAATTGTATAATATCTAAAACAAAATAATAGTTTTGAAGATATTAATCTTTTAAACAAAAATTAAGAGTATTATTAATCTTAATTAATTAATCCACGCCCATAACATTATTAATTAATGTATTCTCTGGGGTTTCTATTAATATATTTTATAACGCCATTTGTCATTATTTCTACATATGTTTCAGCTTAATGAATAAACATGTTTTATTTCTGGTTCACTATATTTCGATTCCATAAATATTTTTTTTTACGAGGGGAATCTTTTTAAAGACTTCCTGCCGCGGGGGAAACGCGACAAGGGCATGTGGGATTTCCACCCACTAAACCACCTCGGCGTTCTCTGCGCTGTGCGTAGACTAGTGAGCGGGAACGGCAAGCCATACTTCCGCTCACTACGCACGAGTCCCGAAAGGGACTCCGCCATCGGCAGGGGTATCAGTGGCTGACCACACCACCCCTCCGACTCAAGAGCAGCGTGCCGGGAACGCCAAACACGCCGTTCTTCCTCTAGCCTATGTTACCCGGACGCCGGTTCCCCACCGATGCCCGGAGGCTTCCTCACTGGGGAGGCAGGTCGCGAGCATAAGCCCGCTGCCTTCGACCCAGCCTTCGTCGGCGCAGCGGCGCCGAGGAGGGGTCGTCTTCCCTCACTCGTTCAGCAGCCTCCTTCTGCAAGATGACTCTCTCGCTGAAGTCGGCCACCGCCTGCCATGCCCTCTCGCTGCCGACCATGGCCTGGGCCACTGCCGGCAACGAAAGGTCTGCGCCAACCACGCGGATGAGTTGGCTACGCTCAGATATCCACGCTGGACATTCCATCAAGGTGTGGTCAGCGGTGTCTTCCACGCGACTGCAGTGGTGTTCGATTTCATAAATATGTGATAGCCCTAAATATGTCTTAACTAACAATTTGTTTTCATTATAAAACTAAAGAGTGATTGGTAAAAAATATAGTTTTTTTAAATATATTTTTGGATAATATCCGTAGCTTTGATTTATAAATGAAAATTTGTACAATTGTCTTTATGGAGAATTCACATTCGTTATTTAACAAAGCAATCAGATTTTGCTACATATATCTTTTTCATCACGTTTTTATGAGGAATGCTTGTAAACATTAATTCAAAGGACTTTTTTTATTTAAGCACTTAAATTGTTAAATTTGTTTAATTTTAGTAACTTGAAAAGTAGGGATTAACGAATTATTTTTTTTTTAATTACTGTTCAGTAGTTGGGTTGTAAATGAAAGGGCCAAATAATATTTCAAAACTTTCTAAATATTAAGACTCGAAATGTAAATTTTATAAGAGATTTATGGACTTAAATACTGTGAATGCTTTTTAAGAGCTGCCTTTCTCTTATCAGTAAAAACATTAATTTATCCTTTAAAACATATTTTGTTATGTAAGTAATTATGTTTACTTGTTAAATAAAATCTCATATTACTTTAAATATCTTACTACTTTTAATAAATGTTTTAATAATTAATAACAGGAAGGCAAGTGAAAATCCTATTAATCATGGATGCCATTTAATGGAAGTTGTTTTCTGACTCTTTAAAGCGTTTTATATGATAACTAAAAATACATATGGTTTGTATAGTGTTGAACTAAAATCATTCAATATGAAGGTGACAATTGCATTTATAAATTGAATGTAATATTTTAAAAAAGTAACATTAACTTCACAATAAGATTGTAACACTAAGCATCGCGAATCTCTCTGACTAATTTTAATCTAACTTAACTGTTTGGTTGCTGGCTTTACCTTAAGACGGGGGCCATAAGGTAACGTTAACGTCTTTAAATGATTTTTTTTTGAAAAAGTAATAAGTAAGAAATTATAACGTTTTTCTTAAGCTCAAGATATATATGTTTTATTTTTAAAAACATAATTATATTCATAAGGCTTATAATGATTAAGAAACGAACAAAAAATTCAAGAACATACTCATATCTATTGAAATACTGGAAATTAGTGACAATAACATAAATCTGTAACCTAATCTATATAACAAAGGAAAATAACGATAAAAGAACAAAGCACTCGAAAACCTTGACTGTGAGTTATAACAAACATTATGATCAATACCAACTCCCATTCTTTATTTGTTGCCAGAAACGAAATAATACATTTATCAACAATTAGTACATAATTAATTAGTTAAATAAAAATTAGGTATTAGGGAAAATAATATATTTCTCTGATTATCATCTTTTGTTTGAATGAAGTAAGAATGAAGTGGATCGATATAAAAAGGAAAAAATATGAATTAGAAATATATGGTATAAATTCTACATAGCTAAGCATCTCAATGAACAGAAAAGCATTTTATACCAGCATACAGTCAATTATTACGAGTAGTTATGAATGTAAAATATGGTCTATAGATCACAGCAATAGAAACTTGAATTCCATGAAATTCACTGCAAGTTTCCTGAGTTACGCGGCAACATAAGGTATTTTAATTAGAAATGAAAGCCTCCTAATTTTCATGAATCTATGTAAACTTAAATCTCAGTTAACAAAGAAGATTTTGGCTTACTATAATGTATTGATTCTTATTTCCCAATAAATTATTTTTTTACTCTATTACAACAAAGAGTTGATTAAATTGCTTGAAATATTATGAGCAAAGAAAATATAAAATGTAATTAGTGTTGAGTGACCGATAAGGAAGTCAGTACCACTGTGAAGGTCGAAAACTGGTACCAAATAAATCTTGCAGGACCTTAAATATTCATCTGATGGCTGATGTACAATAGTATTGGCTGATGTACAAGTAACGTTCTATGGAAGATCAAAGAAAAACCATATTAATCTAAGCTAGATTTATAAATTAAAGTTAATGTTACTATTTCATGTACACGTGTACCTTATCGACGTAAGCCTGTGAATTACAATGGCTAGTCAAATTATAATGATGAATTTATATATGTAATTCAAAAATTGCAATTTCGCATTCCGGGTAAAAGTACAGTGTTTCTTTCGACGGAAATCTATACAAGCTATCGTGTATTCATATGAGTATACATTCATGTAAAATCAAATAAGTCAGTGTTAAAACAGATTATTCAATTTCAGAAAATATCGCCCCACTTAGTCTTCTATCCACGGAGATTTTTTAATAGCATTTAAAGCATTCGATTAAAAAAGATTAAGAGATAAGTGCAAATGGAAAAGGGATTTTAAAGATAGCTCAATCACTCTAATATAAGAACGAACGGAGAGTAAAAAGACTTCCAACATATATTGTTAGTTTAATATACC